AATAAAGAATTTCAATACAAATAAGAAAAAAATTAAAATTAAAATAAAACTAAAATTGTGATTAATAAAAAAAAATAGAAATGCATGTTAAAAAATTTTTAAACTCACGAATTAAGCTTATTTTAGTAGTGAAAAATTATTAAATTAAAATAAAAGAAAAGGTGAAGATAAATTTTATTTTTTACTATTTTTAATAAATTTTAATGATATCAGAGAATTATTAATTTTTTAAATTACTTAAATGTATATTATTAATTTTTAAGTGTTAGGCAATGATGGAGTAAAATACAAGTGTAGAAAGGGGTTTAGGATTTGATGGGTTGGTGGACGGGAGTAGGGAAGGCAAGAAAGTAACAGAAAAAGGAAGGGTCAACCACGCTCTTTAAAATCGCGTGTGGAGTGTTGTATGAAACTTGTAAAGTTCAAAGTCGGTAGAATACGCTGATGGTATGCTAGATCTGAGTCAAACCATGGTAGAATCTGGGACCAGTTTGACGGGACCCAAGGGGTTTATGGGTTGGGGTTGGTGAGATCGGAGGGAGGGTGGAAGGAGAGCTTGACAAAATCTATTTTGCTTTTTTTATTCTTATGAAAATTCTATTTTGATCCTTCGAAAAAAAATTCTTACAGCCGTCATGTTTTTGTTTTATTATTATAACAGTTGTTAATTACTTCTATTACAGTATATATATTTATTAATAATAGATCTTTAATTTATATATTTATATTATGTAAAATATTAAAATTTATATATTTATATTATATTTTATATAAAAATTATATATTATAATTTATATCGATATAAAAATATAAAAAATATATTTTTAAATTTATTAAATTAATATATAATTATTGTTAAAATTTTAAATATTATTATTTTTACATTTTATTTTTATATTATATTATTATATCATATTTTAGATTATCGATTTAATTAAAAAATAATTGATTAAATCTAAAATTTAAATCATTCATTTATTTAAAAATATGAATTATTGATAAAATTAAAATTCAAAAAATAAAAAAAGTTCTATAAGATGTACTTCAATTAAAAAACAAGGGGAATTATGAAGTGCACGTGAAAAAGATTGCCTTTGCCGCATACCAAATCAGTGCAACATCCCCGCCGCTTAAGACAAACTGGTGAAAAGATCGTCCATTTTATTTATTTATTTATTTTATTGAAATGTGATTATTAGGAGAAAGAAAATTGAGGGGGAAAAAAAACAGAGTAATAAAAAAATGAAAAACTTAAAAACAGAAAAAATGAGAAAAATTATTATAAAAAGCAAGAAGATTTTTTTTCAATTTTCTTTTAATAAGAAGAGTATAAATTTTAAAATTTGTAGGGCATTATGTAAATTCACTTTTTTTTTCTTCATTATCCCTCGCTATATCAAAGGAAAAATAAAAAATATTGTGACTAAACTAAGTAATGTGATAATGATCATATGATCAAACCCAAGCGTGTAAAAAGATAGCATGTATCTCTGTTGTTTCTCTGATAAATCATGCACCAGGGTTGCAAGTCACATCCTGACCCATGGAATTTGATTCTCCTTTTATTTCTAGTTGAAATTATTATTTTTTTCACTTGGTTTCATCCAAGTGTCAAAAACATGAAAACCAGATGCATTCTCAGTTTAAAAACAATGGGTTATCAAATATCTAATTGCATGTATACCATTTTTTACGTTTATTATCTTTTATTGATAAAAAGTTCTTGAACTTCAATTAATATATTTTTTTAATTGATTCAAATAAATTTATATACTTCCGAGATTGATGAATTTATGAAAAATTATTTTTTCATAAATTTTAAGCGAATTCGAACTCCAGAAAGTCAAAAGAGCCCAACAAGCATTCGGTTGCTACGTTTATTTTACGACTAAAATATGTGTCGAATTCATAATTTGGGCTTTCAGGCTTCAGCTTCAAGATCCGAGGCTGGAAGGGAAGGGAAGGTTCATGGCAAACATCAACGGGCCCAGCGGACCAAATAGAAGCTATAAGATCAACATCAAAGAAGCTAATAGAACAACAAGCCAACAAGGCAATGAAGCCTTGGGATTAGATACTTTGGGTTTTACCCTCCTTTCCCTTGGATTGTAGTCTAGCAGGGGAAGACGATAGCGATGGAGCAATCGTATGGGTAACAAAAGCATCAGCCAGTAAGTGCCCCGGCTTAACCTGGGCCTCAGTACTTAAGTGAAGGTGGTCCTCTTTCAGAGGCAATCCTTTAGCATCCACACATGCTACATTAGGCAAACAGATTCCCAGTTGTGCTTCCCTCACTCTCTCCATGTAACTACCATCTCCTGATGCAATTGCAACCTGCAAATTATCAATCACATTACTATTATCCAATTCGATCAATTCACTTAATCAGCAATGACCATTAGTTTGGCCTCTGAGCATTTAACTCAACTCAATTGTTAAGTGTTTGATTCTTAGGTCCCTCGCTGAAAGAGCTATCTGGAATCCCCCGTCCCCCACCATTACTTTAACCCAAAAAATGTGGAGTAATTTTCAGGTCCATGCGAAATTTCAAAATATTTTAAGGTTACCCTTTTTTTTCTTAATTTGAGAACGGAAGGATTTGGTCCTGTTACTCTATAAGCATACCAAAGAGTGTATTTGGATACAATCGCACGGTATTCAAGTATTGTTCAATCCTCAACTGTACCCTAGGATGCATATAGATATCATCCTGTGCTGCAGTAGAAGGCATCGTCCCTCCAGTTGGAGATTGGGAGGGAAAGGGTCCAATGGTTTACTATCTACTAAGGCAATTGACTTCTCTACCTAAGACATTTGACTGCTTGCTGTAAAATTGAAACAAAAGATATTTTTTAATTACCACAGTCGATGGCCTTTAGTCGAGCATTCGACTGTCTCATTTTTAAACATGATAGTTGGCTACTTTTGGTCGGGCAGTTTACCTAAAATCCAATCTATTCATCACTAATGTTTTCGTATTCAAACAGATTCTATCATTTATTTTAATTTTATCATTACAAAAATTAATCTCATTACCAACGCTATTTGAATTTCATAGAAACTAATCTTATCTCTCATCTAAATGATTACTAAGGAAAATGGTCGGATGGCACCATGACAAACTTAGATGTATAAATCCATGCTTAAATTTAATAATCCTTATTATAGTAGTAGTATTAGCAGTGTACTTCGACTAGTATTATTTGTGCAAGAATACATCAATATACGGAATTTAGAACTTTATTATCTTAGAGAAGTAGACGAATAGTTATATAATGATGATAATGTAAATTATGCAAACCTGGATGACTGGAAGCAAAGGTAAGCCAAGATCCTCATGCACATTATGGATCAATCTCTCCATATTTCCCTTCTAGGCTTCAGCATCGTGCTGGGACGACGTATCGCTCTCCCCTTGGTACCAAAGCAAAGCCTTGATTTCCCCTTTACTTCTCTTCACCATACTCTCTTACAAGTGCTGCCCACGCGCCCACTCCTTGATAGCGGTGCCACCCACGGCGCATGGCACCAGCCCCATGCACTCGCCTCCCAGATGCTCCCTTACCGCATTGGCGAACGACATTCCGGGCCCCACTCCGCAGACCTTGCGGCTGTCGATGTCGCAGTGGAGTGGCTCCCGTGCCAGCTCCCAGTTCAGCTTGGCGCTGAGGTGGAGAATGGAAAGGTGCGGTTGACAATCTGGTGGAACGATGCCGTCCCAGTGGTGGTGCTTCGAGACGCCGCCTAGGCCAGCCATGTTGCTTTGGCCTGAGTGGATGAATTTATGTTTGGGAGTTGGTGAGGATTGATCTTGTTCTGGAATAGGGATGTCTGTCTCGATGGTTTCTGGAATTCGGTTTTGTTTCTTTTAAAACACGAGAGAACTTGGTTTGGCTGGAATTTGATTTTGAAGGAAAATGATGTACCGGAGAGTTTTCTGTTTGCGTAACTTCAGAGAAGTTTCTGAGTGGGGCCTGTCTGGGAAGCTTTTCACCCGTCACCCCTTTTTTTTTTTTTTGGATTTAAGTTTCAATGAAATGTCCTGGGGTTTGGGCCTTTTAAGGTTTTGGGTTTGGACAGTTCAGGCTTCAGATTCCAAATCATTCCATTTGATGTTTTTGGGCATTCCAGATTGTGGCCCAAATCATGTAAACTGATAACAAGTTGTGGATATAAGTAGTAAGAATTTTCTGAAAAATAAAACGAAAATAATTATTTATTCTTTTAATAAAAGCCAAGAAAAAAAAGCAAGAAAAGATATTATTATCTTGTATTAATTTAAGATGTCGTTTGGTTGATTCTACATGTTGCTGCTTTTGGATTCTATCAATGATGAGGACAACAAAGGTGAGGCTTGTGAATGTCAATTAATTTCAAATTAAGCACTGTGTCCTTAACGCCTCTAAATTCTAATACTAACATTATGTTGAAAGCTTTATCTATTTTCAATTTTGTGAATGATAAAAATCCATAACCGTATTTTACAAGGGTTTTTGCTAATTCAATCATTCTCCAGGTGGTTTTAATTATTATGTTGGCAAAATAGCATTTTAATTAACATAATAATAATAATAATAATAATAATAATAATAATAATCAAACCAAAGGTAAAAAATTTTCAGTTTTGATAAGTATCAAAGTTTCTTTCTACCAGATTTTTATGTTTCTTGTCGGAATGTGCAGTCGACATCAAGCAAGGTTTGCAATGATTAGTCTTCACTCTTCAACTACTATTGAAAAATCATGAAAAACAAACCAACCTTGGTGCTAGTACAATGGAGGCTCAGGTGAGTTATTGTTTGATGCATATATCCGTGTTTCATTTGTTTCGGAATGATATTATTGAATGAAGCATTGTTATGTTTTTCAGGAAGAAGTGGCTATTGAAATAGCTGAAGCTGTTGTTGGAGCCTTGAAAGGGGAACTTGCTGCAACTGCAGTCAATGCACCAATGGTTCCTGCTGAGGTACAATGACTCAATGAGTCCTATTAGTTTTGCCATCTATTTTTCTTCCTTACTTCTTGCTGATATAGCCTTTCATTTTTTCTTCTTCACGTTCTAGTCATTCATGATTGATGTTTCACTTATTTGTAAACTTCCCCTGCAGGTTCTAACAGAGTTGAAGCCAAATGTCGAACTTGCTGAGAAACGTGGGAGGCTGGCTGTCCAATTGGCAGAAGGTGCAAGTGGTGTTAAAAGTGTTAAAAGTTGCAGGGTGGCTGTATCAGTACCATATCCTCTTCTTCTTGGGTTGGATTGGACATTTCTACTACATTTTAGTGCTCAATTTTGAAAATTGTTATGGAGTGTGTTTTGTCGTTGGTTTAGGACAAGGATGGAAGAAAGCATAATTGAGCTTTGCAACAAAAAGACTGCTTATTATCGAGTTAAATTTTGTCTGATTCAGATTTGCATCTGGTTTCATGGATGTAGATGTGCTTTGCGTGCTAATTGTTGCCTTATTCGTAACACTTCCTTTTAATTCGTTTTCCCTTTGCAACAGATTAAGTTGGTAGATCAATTATGTTTTTGTGCATGTTATCAGAAAATTCTTAGATTTGTACTTTGAAAAAAGAACTCTTTGATGCAGATATGGAGTTATTGCTTTCATAACATTTTCCAGTGAATTCAATTTCACGGCAAACCGTCATTTTTGACATAATATGCTTAATTCATGGTTCTTTACCTATCTGATAAGAATGACCATAATGTTTGTAGACAGGAGTTTCAAGAACGGTATCAACCTTTTCCTCCGAAATTTCTTATTTTCTAAAGACTAAATGCTTTGTACATATTATGGGGGATTTCCTCTTCCACTAAATTAATTTAAAAAAAAAATGGCCAAGCTGTAGCATTATGAACCAGAAAGGAAGGGAACCTGACTTAAGGTTGAGGGTAAGGAGATGTGAAGGTTATTAACTGCTAAATAGGCTGCAAAACCAGCAGCATAACCTGCAAAAGCAAAACCGCTCACCTGCACCAAAATAAATATTTTATTCAATAAACTTGGTTTTCTTTTCCTAAAAGGATATGCAACTAAGAACACGAATTACCTTGCGCAAATACCAAAAGAAGTCAACTTTTTCCATTCCCATGTATGCAACTCCCGCGGCAGACCCAATAACTAGCATGGATCCACCGGTACCAGCACAATATGCAACTAGTTGCCAAAACTCAGAATCCTGGGGAAAAGTGGTGAGATCATACATACCCATTGTTGCTGTAATCGGTGGAACATTGTCAATAATTGCTGACACAAATCCTATTGCACTTGCTATCAGTTCAACATTAGGAATATGAGCATCCAGGTAATTTGCCAACTCCCGAAGAAGACCTGCTGCTTCTAGGCTAGGGAAGTACAACTCAAATGTATCAATATAGAAAGCTACAATATACAACTTAATTATATAAATGAAGTAATGATAAATATAAGAAATGCTTTTTATATTTATGAAAAATGCAAAAAATAATGGTGTCTAAAGCACTCATCACCAGGTAGCATTGTCTCAAGCAATGCTTTTTTATAGAAACTTCATAATGAAACCTAAACTATGGTTAAAAAAATTAATTGAGGCAGAACAAATTACACAATCGTACTTTAATATTGTATTTACCTGCTCACAGACAAAAGTATTCCAAGGAAGAAAAGAGCTCCTTGAGTATCAATCCTTGATAAAGCTTGTGGAACTTTTAATTCTTGCCTTTCCGATTCACCATAATGAATGGCATCAGTCAGTATCCAAAGAACTCCAAGTCCAAATAAAATGCCCATAAAAGGAGGCAAACCAGTTAAGGCCTTGAATACCGGAACAAAAATCAAAGCACTCATACCCACAGAGAAAACAAGTTTCCCTCTAGGCGCCATGTCTTCAGATGCCAAAACATTGGGAGAATCTAGTCCCTTCCCGTTAACTTTGCTGAATGAGAAAAGAGAACTTACATTATTTCATCTCTAATTCATGAAGTTAAATGTAACCTTTTAAAACTGAATTTTCCCAACTTGTCTTTTTTCATGCAAGAAACGTACCTAGTCAAAGACATTAAAGCCAGTGGGACAGCTAGAGAAACAATTGAAGGTATGAACAAACTCTGTTAGCAACGAAATCAAATATAATTAACTCCACCTAAAGTCAGTAAAAAGCAAAAATTCTTCTAGGGTGAATCCATATAAATAGAGTATGTGACTTTACATTGCTATTGCTTCCAATGGTTCAATGTTTCATTCAAATTTGACAGAATTATTACCTTTGTATACTAATCTAAGTCTAAATCAGGAAACATATCAACATGGACACTTAAATCCATAATGAATAGATATTAGGATAAATTTAAAAGCATAAATGAAAGTGAATTTAATTTAAATGTGCTTTGTTAGAATCATGAAAGCACCTTCATAGTCTGCAATGTGGATATTCGACCATGAATCCATAGCATGGTAGTGGTAACATCACCAATAGGAGTCCAAGCGCCACCGGCATTTGCTGCTATTACAATAACAGCTCCCAGAAGCCTATTGCAATTCATAATCATATAAATAGTATTAAGAAATTTGAATGAACATGATACTAGTCATTCTCAAAAAACGAGTATGGTATGTTTAACTCAAAACATATGAAAGTTATGTAATCTATTGGTAAGTCACCCTTAGTTTCAGTAACCAGGATCAAACCCTGACAGCCTCAAGTACAGAAAAAAAAAATGATAACCAGCTGTGCAGTGACAGATAAACACACGATTGCAATATGGTAATATACCATGTGAACCCAGGAATATTAACGAAAATAAGATATTAATTTGTGCAATGCTCAGAACCCAAACAGAAGAGTAGACTCTATTGCATAACATACTTGCGGTATTCTGATGCAGGTACTAGTTTCCTTGACATAGAAACCATGGCTATTGTACACGTCAAATTGTCAAGGATGGAACTAAGGAAAAAAGTCACAAAACCAACCTGCAAATTCAAATTACAATTGCCACACCATTATTTGATTAAACCAAACATCAAGAATATACAACTGATAAAGATATCACAAACTTTGACAAGAAATAGAAATAAAGTTGATCTATTTGTTCAAAATACAAGAAAACAACACTAGAAAGAGAGACAGCTAACACAGATTTGCATCTAAGAGTTTACACTTTCAATTTTTCTTCATTGGGCTCATTCTAGCAAAAAGACTAAATATGATAGGATTATATGCAGATAAATTGTACTTTGGCAGGATGATAACTTTGGCATGACACATAAGTAAGCGCATTTAAGATTCTTCTGAATCTATCTTATCAGTTGGAATCATCTACATCATTGGTTTGTACCTACCAGACAAATTTTGTCACAGTGGGCAAATATTGGGCCACAGGGTATGCTTTACTGTGCAATTGAACTTTCAATAAGATTCATATAGGAACTATGAATGATAAGATTGTCAATATGACTATAGCCAGCAGAAATCAACTCACCACCCAAAGCAGAGTCCGTGGCTTTCGAGTGGTTATATTGTCAGTAACCAGCTTAAATCCTTGATGGGCATCAACTATCTCTACAATGGTCATTGCACCAAACAAGAAAAACATGACTTCACAGACTTCAGCAGATGCATGTGTCAGATCTGAAACAGCTATTTCAGTTGAAGGAGCCTACAAATGAAAATCAAATGTGAATGGCCCAAGCATCATTACACAAGTAATGACAGACAAAGGTGGAAATAAGTAAGAAAATGATAAAAAAAATGTTTTCCATACAAATGTCAGATGCATCAGCATAAGTAGACTACCATAGAATTCCATAAATAAAGGGAGATAGTCATGGTCACCATTTGCAGAATTCCTAAGGATGGTAACAAGACACACAAACAGAAACTTTGGCTCTCCCAATTGATCATGGGAGTAGATACTTAGTTTTGTGATCTTAATTCATTGCTAGGGTAGTCCCTTGGAATTGGTTTAAATTGGAGATGCTCCTTTCTTCAATGGAAAGTGGGCTCCAACATAAATAAATAAAAAAAAAAGGATATAGATTGCAACGATCACTTCATAAAAGACAAGCCATCATTCACCAAAAACATACACCACTAAAACCAGTAGATCAGGAAATTAGTTTAGAGCCCAAGCATCCTGTATTTCATCAACTCTTGAACAAATACAGGGACATGAGGCCACCACCAAAGAACATAAGAGAAACAGGTTGAAACATGACATAGTACTGAATGAAGTATCCAATAGACAAGAGAATTTTGTGTTTTCATCCTAATTTATGATAATCCTAGCAATGATGCAAACTACAAGAAGAGGGACAGCAGAAAAACACAGTCCAATAGTAGACATCTGAGAATCATTCTTACCCCAATGGTTCTTACCACCCATAAACTCACAGCCATCAACAATCCTACTCCACTTTTACTGAAGGCTAGAAACTCTTCAAAGATAATGCCTGCATATCCTACTGCAAAAAGCAATGCCATAGCAATATCCTACACTATGAAATTAGATAGAATTAAGAAAGGCTTCTGTGCATAATACAATAATATGCAAAACATTGGTCAAAGATAAGAAAACGACTAAAACCTACAAAGAAAGGATTGCACAAGAAATTAAAGATAAACCTGATTGTGGGTAATCCATGCTAGGCTAATTGCCAAAGTCCCTGCTAAAGCTGCTGTGAAAACCGCAATAGTTCTCAACAAATCAGTCTTTGGCTTGTAAGTAACTTTAAAATCTGGCGATCTAGTTTCATCAACTGAACATAAAGGATCACAAGGTCCAGATGTTGAGGTCACATCCTGTTGATACGCAAAGTTTACTTCAGTTTGTGTTAGAATCCACAAAAAGAAGGAACAGACGCTGCTGTTTTCTATGATGATTGGTTTTTTTAGCAAATTGGAGAATGCTTTTTAAACTGACTTTTGAGTAATCATCCCTCGTAAAGAGGATCATTACCCAGCCTCAATCCGTCCAATAGAGGATGAGAGTCCAACAAGTGTCATTTGAAAAATGTTCCTAGCCTTTAGGATTCAGCATTTTTAAACAATGAGGCTACTTTCAGGATTTAAACTTAATCGTTTGAGCTCGTCAGCCAAAATTTTTATATTACACCAGACAGTGTCTCTTAATCAACCCTCATATATCTATCTAAATCAATCGGATTGCTGAGCTAAACATCTGCAGAAAGTAATTTATAATGGCAATAGCTTGAAATTCTATCAAATTATTTGACCGCCTCAGTAAGCAAGCAAACATAACCAAGATAAAATCATCAAACGTATGAACTAGCAGAACAGGCAAATGGGTGCCCTTAAAACTGGAGTACTAATAACCAAGACAATAAAGATGACAAAAGACGGGAAATGAAACCAAAAAACTCTCACCCAAATCATAAATCACCGAACAAGCAAATGGGTAATCACTAAAGATAAAATTTTACATAATGGTATAGGGATAAAAAGGAAAATCTCCATGTTGCTTTTCATTCTTGGTTTTAACTTTTTGTTGTCTTGGAGGAGAAGAAGAAGAAGAGCCTCTGGCCTTATCCTCAGCTCTAGCAAGAACTCCATTGCTGAACAACCTTGGACCTTTGATTCTACAAAGGGAAGAGCCTAAGGTAGGCAAAGAGTATACTGAAGGAGAGTGGAAAGAGCGTTTCTTGAATTGGTATGACGGTGAAAAATGATTCCAATTGATAAGGCAGCGATTAAAAGCTTGGGTTTTTTTTTTTTTTGTAAGAATCTGTATTATTAATCGAACGAAAGAGAGTGCCTTTGAAATTTTCGTTTCAGTTTCACTGTTGGAAGTTGTTACATGGAATAAATCAGCCCATCTCATCATCAGTCATTTGGGAAATGAATTGAAACGAGGAGGGCTATTGCCGGCTCCCATGAGTGTGGAAAAATCGGTGATGAGAGTGGAAGTCAAGCAATTGCTTTTGGTTTTGGAATTTTGGTCCAGCAATTAGTTTCTTGTCTCGTTAAACTGAACGAAGTTTCCAAGCTATCTTTCTCGTCTTATTCAACTTCAAAAAAAAAAAAAAAAAACCTTATCTTCTTCTTGCTGTTTTAATTTTTAAACAAATACATCATGCATATTTGAAAATTCAATAAATTGTGAGTAATTATCCAATCAAAACCTTTAGAAAATGATATAGGGACTTTATAGTTATAACTTTATTATCATATTAAATATAATAATTTTGTTTGGTAAATTTTTTTATTATTACATCGTAGGAATTTAGCGAAGATTTTTGAAAACATACTTAAAATTTGAGTGTTAATGGTAAAATCATGTAAACATTAAGAAATACAAAAAGAAAGGAATTATTAAGATGCTTAGACATGATGCATGTTCAAGTTTCATGTCTCAAATATGTCTGAACCTCTTCCAACTGCCAGTTTGTTTAGAAAGATTAGATTAAATTAGACTAGAGGCGATGTATTACCACTCCATCCTCTCAAACAATCAAAACTCTTACAAACATGGCCTTAGCTCAACAAGTCTTCGCTTCCCTTTCTTTTTCTCTTTCCATTCACGGTAGTCTCTCAATCCTAGTCTTTTGACATTGCTTATTAAGTCTTTATAACAATTTTCACAACTCCAAATTATGTTGTAAATGTCTATCCTATCAGCTCATCAAGAACCCATAAAATTTCTCGTTTACCCATTTTGACTATTTCACGAAGCGAGTCTACTTTTGCCTCTCTGTAAGCAATTCTGATTTTTTTTTTTTATAATTTATGATGAATTTCTTGTTTTTCTTTGATGTGGGTTTTTCTTTTGCTTTCATGATAAATGTAATAGTTAAAAGGTAAACCAAAAACTTGGTTTTCTTATGCAAATAATGTGTAATCTTTGAATTTGTTTGAAATAATTGTACATAGTAAAAGATAATGTTTTAATTATGGCAGTCGGTTGCCTTTAGTCATTCTATTATCTTATTTTTAAATATTAATATTGATTACTTTTGATTGAATAGTTTACCTAATGTATAATCTCACTGATACTACTGTATTAATATTTAAATTTTATTATTAATTTTAATCTTATCATTAAAAAAACTAATTTAAATACCATTGCTATTTTAATTTCATTGAAATTAATTTTATTTTTTATCTAAATGATTCTTAAGGAAAATGGTTGGGTGCCACTAAACTTATTTAAAGGTTAAATTATTCGTTTAAACTTGAAATTCAACTTAAATTTTGAGAAGACTTTAATAAAAAATTAAAGTCATTGAACAAGTTTGAAAATAATTTTTAAATCCGTTTAAATTTTATGTGATCTTTAGATAAAAAATTTAAAATTTAGTTTTATCTAAATTCACACACATATATATATAAATATAAATTTATGTCTTTATATATATGTGAATTATATATATTAATTATATATATATATTAATTCACATGTATGTAAAAAAATAAAAAAATTATATATAATTTTTATAAACTTAATTTTTATTTTATATAATTTTTAATTTTAATTTGTATATATATAATTTTTATTTTAATTTTTATATATATGTAAATTGAATATAATATCATTAAACTTAATTTAATCATATTTTTTAATTTTTTATTATATAAATTAAGTTGAATAGTGAGCATGATATTTATTTATTAATTTGAATCGAACTTAAAAAAATTTTTAGGCCCAAAATTTGAATTGAACTTGATCTAAATTATTAATATTAAACATGAATAAGGTAATAAATTTAAATGTATAAATAAATCTATAACCATAATTTAAAGGAATCCTTTTAATTTTTACTGTTCAAAATAGGGTCTATCAAGGCTACTAATTTCATGTCATTTGTCACATTTTGATTGGTATACAGGTTAAGGTTAAAATAATTTTTTAAAGCCTTTTGATATCTTAAAGATTTTTTTCAAAAAATCATAAAATTTTATAGCTCACATAAATTAAAAAACACACAAAAAAAATAAAAAGCCAGGGGAATACACAAAAAAAAATAAAAATTCACAAGTAAAAACTCTTTGCCCATCATAGCCCAAAATTTCCGTAACATCATACCGCTAAAGCACATGCATAATAAATTGAAACCTAAAAAAACCTCAGTCTCTACCTCCTAGACTGCCACTGTGAACCACAGGGATGGATTTACGTATAGGATTGTGCAGGCAGCTACCCCACTGAGATACTAAAATACTTTAGATTTATTGTGAAAAAATCTTATAATAAATTTTAGAAATTTCAAACTTTGCCGTCATTAAAATTTTTTTTATCATATTTACCTCCATTAAATTGAGGAACATGAAAGAAAACTTTTTATTATTTATACTTTGGGTGATAAGCAATTTTATTATAATATATACATTAATTTTAAAGTAAAACAAATAAAAAACTTTTACAGTTTATATAAATAACATATAAAATGTGAATTAATAAAAAAAAAAATGATCTTTAATACCATAGGTTTGTAAGTCTTCATTCTTATTTTCATTGTATATAAAAAATATTACTTTCATTGTCTATAAAAAAAAGCATTTATTATTCTTCACAATGAATAAGAAATTAAAGTAAATATTTTATATATTATATCTATATTTAAAAATTCTATAAATAAAATTTGTATATGTATCTGTATTTATAGAAGCATGTGTCGAAAAATAGTTTATTTATGATATAATAATATTTCAGCTATATTTGTCTAACATCCATATAATTAATTTTAGCAATGTAAATATTGTATCTATGGCAAAAAAATTTGTTTTTATATATAAAAAAAATGTTATACATGTTAATTTGTTTAGAAATTTTTATATTAATTTATCTTTTAATGAAAATTTTAATAAATTGAGTTAAAATATTTACCCCCGCTAATTAAAAATGTTGGATCCATTCCTGATAAGCCACTCGCCAAACCCCCAATACTAGAGTCAACCATTAAATGAAGGAAATATTACATGAAAAATCGATTAGAAAGACTAAAAAAAAAAATGAGAGGAAGGATAAACTCAAAGGATTTAAAAATAGAACTAAAAACAAAAAAAGAGTGAGACTGGCAGACGACGATTAAGGGTGAGAAATAAGGGAAAGAAGGGAATATGAAACCTAAGGGTTTAGTAGACTTTTATACTAAAATAAATCATTGTAATTTATATAATAATTTATAGATACATAGATTTATTGTTAAATATAAATTTTAAAAAATATGAAATTAAAATTTAAATCTAAGAATATGATTATGCGTTAAAAAAGTTATTACATCCTCACAGCATCCATAAAAAAAATGATATCAATTTGATTTTAAGTTATTTAAGCATTGAAATACATTTAAAATTTATCAAATAATTTAATATTAAAATTTTTTTTAAATTACTCTAATACGTTGGTAATAATTTAAAAATATTTTATCATTTCAAGAGTATTTAATGAGACTATTTATTATGCTTTGAAGATGCTTCATCATTATATTTATTTAATTTTACTTCTAAAAATAAATATTTATAAACCAAATTTATAGTAAAAAATTATTTCAATCTATTGGTAAGATTTTTTTGTTAAAAATTATCATTCAATCTGTTAGTAAGATTTTATGCTATTAAAACAAGAAATATTATTTTTGTTATTTTATTTTTTGAAAAATTTGATTTTTTTGAAAATTATAAGGCTTTTCAATATATTGATAAAATTTTATTTTGGAAAACATTGGCCATCCAATATGTTGGTAAACTTTTATTTTTATATTTTTTAAAATAAATAAAAAATTATAAATTTTTTTAATATATTGATAAAACCTTATTTTGTAAAAAAATTATCTTTAAATTTGTTGGTAAAGATTTTATTTAAATACATTTTTATACAAAAAATATATATTTTAAATAATAGATGAATAACTAAATAAATAAATAAACAAATAAAACAGTTAAATAATAAAAAAAAATTTGAAGTAGACTCGAAAAAGGGCTGGGCCGCGAGGCTCAATTCTAGGCATAAAAGGTGGCTAAAGTGGCTCTGCTTGGATGGCTCGACTTCTATGTGGCTCGACTCAAGGCAGCAAATAGGGAACAAGTAAAAAACAAGTCGTACAGATCTCGGGTTACAATCTGATAAAACATGCAGATTTGAGAATTTCTTTTTAGACAAAATAGCATCATTTGGGGGCACTATAAAATTTTAGTTTCTTTATTTTTTTTTCTTTTAGAATTCTTTTTGCTTTCTCTCTCTATCCTTCAGCCCCTCTCTCTAAACCAATTTTTGGCCATCGTGATTGCAAATAGCTACTGATAAATTCTTCACCCATTGAGAATTTCAACCGAATATTTGGTTTTTGGTTGAAAAATGGATATTTTGCTGAAAATTAATTGAAAAATTCAAAAGTCGTCGAAATTTCTCACCAGATCTAAAAATTCCAGAAAAAAATTTTTCAAAAAAATTGTCAAATCACCACTCTTAAACGTCAGGAATCATTTCAACACTTTCCTGAATGAATACCAATTTCCACCATTCTTAAAATTTTTTTTAAAGACTTTCAAGAACCCTCATACCATAAACCAAATAATTCCCACCGATTTTTACCTAAAACTCTTTGATGCATTAAACAATTTCCCTTTTCTCTCTAGAATTTCTATTCAGTCCCTCTTTTTCATTTCTATTTTAGAACCATTTATAGGAGTTTTTTTTAATAAAAAATTTAGGGTTCCTTGTTTAAGACAGATTTAATTATGGCGTGATTTCGAGATTTTGATTTTGGTTAATGTTCTCCTTTTGATTATGGTTTCCAATTTTATGTAGATCAATAAAAAAAAAAAAAAACCTTCCTCACAAGATTTCCAAAAACTTTGCATGATTTGATTTTCTTTCTCTTTTTATTTTTTAGTTTTCTATGTTTATTCAGTAACAAACTAAAACAAAACCATTGGTAACCCTAGCCGAAGCTCGGGTACTCATACAAAATTGGTTGGACCATCCACTGGGCTTATAGCCCAAGCATGGTGAAAACCAACCATTGGGGTTTTAAAGCCTAAATAATAATTAAATAAATTCATTTGAAATCCGAAAAACTCACTAAACACTTCAAAGATCCAATCGTCCAAATGACTCAAACTCCAATGAATGCTAAACATCTTAATCATTCGATTTAAAGCTATGAACGAAACGAGGTATCTACAATTTAAAAAATTAAAATAAAAAAAGTAAAGATTAAGCGATCTAAGCCCAATTAAACCTAAATTTTTTGGTTCTATCCAAATGTTAAATTAATAAGGTATTTAGGAATAAGTATAGGAATAAATTTAGGAAGATTGTATAGTATACTTTTTACCATTTATTACATATATAAAAATTGTTTTATATATTTATATTTTTTTAATGTTAAATTTAGGATTAATGACTTTATTCATGTACATAGAAAATTAAATATAATAATAATATTATTATTATTATTAAATTTTTCAATAATTGGAATTGGATTGTTTTAGTGGCATTTCTTTTTTAAAATTTTTCTTAAGATAAAAAAATGATTTCATGAGTCGAAATATGGGGGAGAATATTTTGAAAATAATTATGCATACTTGAGAATTAAATTCAAGTAATTATTAAAAATTGAAAATAAATGAAAGTCACATATGTAATTTATTTATCATATTTAATTTATATTTATATTTATATTTTATATTAAAATACTATGATTTTAAATAATTAAAAATTATAAAATAATTTTCTAATTAATTATTATTTTAATTGACAATGTGTGAAGTTTAAATTTTATATAAATATATATATATATATACTTATTATTAAGTTAAAATTTTAAATAATTTATATTTCATAAAAAAAATGGGACTCAAGCGGGAGAATTTTCTCTTGAGATCTAAAATTTAATAATCCTTATTATAGAAGTAGTAGTAGTAGTCATAATTCAACTAGTATTATTTGTGCAAGAATACATCAATGTAAGGAATTTATAACATTACTATCTTAGAGAAGTAGACGAATAATTCTATAATGATGATAACGTAAAACTTAATAATGCAAACCTGAATGACTGGAAGCAAAGGCAAGCCAAGATCCTTACGCATTTTTTGAATCAGCCAGTCCATATTTCCCTTGTCTCCGTGGTTTCTGGAATTCGGTTTCTTTTATACAGATAGCTTGGTTTGGTTGGGCTTTCAAGGAATGTAATCGAGAGTTTGCTGTTGGGCTACCTTAAGAAGTTTCCAATTTTGGCCTGTCTGTGAAAGAGGTCTCAATGGGCTAACTTAAGAAGTTTCCAATTTCTGCCTGTCTGGGAAAGAGGTCTCAATGGTCTAACTTAAGAAGTTTCCAATTTCGGCCTGTCTGGGAAAGAGGTCTCAATGGGCTCACTTAAGAAGTTTCCAATTTCGGCCTGTCTGGGAAAGAGGTCCCAAATGGAACGTGCTGTATCAGCGCCGTCCATTTAAATAATAGTTCATATTAATAGATTATATCGGTTTAATATTAATTTTTTAATGTATCGTATCGGTACAATTCATAAAAATTAAGAATATAATTTAACATGATACATAATTTGTAATTTTTTTAAATTGTATCGTGCCAAATATAATATTATTTTTTGTGTCGAGCTAGGCTAAGCATAATCTATTAATACTTTGTTAAATTTTTATTTTTTTAAATTTCATCTATTGTTATTAAAAATAACATACAAAAAATAATAAACACATAATGAAATAAAAAATGACACGTAATTTACATAAAGCAAAATGTCTACATTCATTGAAATGGATAATAGAATTCACTAAATAAATATATTAAAATTACAATCTTAACAAAAAAAAAACATGTACACATTATTCGATGTGTAATAATACATATATAACTAAAGTTTTGTCAACAGATCCAATATTAGAAGTAAGTGAAATTTTAAATGATTTTTGTTAAATTAGATACTAATTTTTCTTTATAAAAAAATATTTTAAAAGTGTCTTATCTATTAGTATTTCTTGAAACTATTTTATAATTATGTAGTATATCATTTCTAATTAAATGATTAAAATATTTTATCATCTACAAAAACAAATGATCGTTCAAATTACCTGAAGATCTATTAAGATGTTAAGTGTAATTTGTGTGAGATCGTTAAAAGCAACAAATACAATCTCATGTTTTTCTTTATACATTTTCAGCTAAGCAGTCTCTTTTTTTGTTTTACAATTAAAATTATATATATATATATTATAAGTTTAAAAATTTCATCATATAACATTGAAAAAAATAATAATTTGTTTTTATATACATAAATTTAAATAAATAAAATAATTTATACATTGAACAGTTATAAATTAATTAAATATAATTTATCTATTAATAATTTAAATATTTAATAAGTAAATTTATTTAATATAATTTTATTTTATAAATTATAAAAAAAATATAATTTCATTAAAATATAAAATAACATGAATTCACTCGAAGATAAAAGCTGATTTATAAATAGTTTTGAGCTAACATGATATATTTAGATTTGGGTCTCATACTATGTTAGCCCATTATCACATGCTGACAGTAATCCTTAACTGATTATGCCGTACCAATCGATAGCTTTAAAAACTTTTAACTCAACACAACGTACATATACATATACATATATATATATATATTGTGTTTGGCCCAATCCGATTACACGAGAGGACGAAAAATTTGCCGTTTGCGAAATTTCAGAGAAGTTTCTAAGTGGGCCCCCTGGGAAGTCATCCTTTTTTTTTTTTTTAATTTAAGTTTCAATGAAATGTACTAGGGTTTGGACTTTTACAGTTGTGGGTTTGGGATGGTGCAGACTTCAGAGTCCAAATCACTCCATTTTAAAAATGATGTTTTTGAGCATTCCAGATTGTGCCCCAAATTAGATAAACAGATAACAAGCGGTGGATATAGGGAGTAAGAGTTTTCTGAAAAATAAAACAAAAAGGAATATTTATTCTTTTAATAAAAGCCAAGAAACAAATTATTATCTTTTATTAATTTAAGATGTTATTTGGTTGATTCTACATGTTGCTGGTTTTGGATTCCATCAATGCTGAGGATAACCAAGATAAGGCTTGTGAATGTCGATTAATTTCAAATTAAGCACTGACCCCTTAACACCTCTCAATTCTAATACTAAAACTTTCAATTTTGTGAATGATAAAAATCCATAACCATATTTTACAAGGGTTTTTGCTAATTCAATCAAATCTCCAGATGGTTTGAATTATTATGTTGGCAAAATAGCATTTTAGTCAACATAATAATAATAATAATCAAACCCAATGAAAAAAAAGTTTCGGTTTTTATCAGTATCAAAGTTTCTACCATATTTTTGTGATTCTTGTTGGAATGTGTAGTCGACATCAAGCAATATTTTCAATGATTAGTCTTCGCTGTTCAACTAGCATTGAAAAATCATGAGAAACCAACCAATCCATCTTGAATGATCCACCGAAACGAAACAGAACAAAACCCATTTAACATCTGATAAAGCATATTATACATCAGGTGACACTTTCTCTCGCATAGGCTATCAACAATATTCTATACAGCTCGTAATTATGCAAAGCATTCAAGTCAACAAAGGATTTGATAAAGAGGCAAAAGAAAATTACTTTAGCGCTCGCTTGAGCACTTTTTGTAGGACCCAACTGCATCATTTCATTAACATGAAGAGGAAGAAGAAAAAGAAGAAGCTTAAGGGACTTTTTCTAGGATTTGAACTGCTTCTTTCATGAACGGTCTCTTTTGTGGCACAAATGATTCACAACTAAACCCTAATCTAAAACATGCCAGCATGGTTTCTTCCCTGCCTTCCACGTCATCCCTTATCGCCACATCAGCCAAGCGGACAGGCCTGATCCTTTCTTCCCCGATTGAACAGGCTCGCACCGCCCACTGTCCCAACTCCCTGGTTGACAACACTCTCCCACTGAGAAGCTCAAGCAAAATTACGCCAAATGAGTAGACATCCCATTTGGGGTTTGGTTTGAGGTTCTTTAATGACTCTGGTGCTTGATATGGCGTTGATGTTCCTGTGGAAGAGCTGGCAGTGGCAGGCACATGGGGGCTTGGACTTGGATTTTATTGTAATGCTTATATTCTTTGTGGATTGCTTAGATCTGAATTTCATGTTTAGATTTTGTTTTGCTATGGTTAAATATAGAAAATGTTTTGGGGGAATAATTATGGATCTATTTTAATTATGCTAAGATGGAAATTTTATAATTTGTGACCTTTCGTAGATTCAAGTCTGGGAATCACCATGGCATATTCATGTGACAAGATTTTATGACATCACCACATTTACAAGTTTTGAATATGATAAATGACATAATTTATGCCAAGCAAGGTGATAGAAATATATTCTAATAATTGGTAGTTTAAAGTGATGCCATGTAGAGGTTTTATCGTGATTTTTGCTAATATGAGTAATAAAACCTGATTCAGATTTTCATCTGAATTTTACTAATATTCTTATTATTGAGTTAAATTTTGCCTGATTCAGATTTGCTTCTGATTTCATGGATGTAGAAGTGCTTTGCGTGCTAATTGTTGCCTTATTCATAAAACCTTTCAATTCCTTTTCCCTTTGCAACAGGTTAAGTTGGTAGATCAATTATGTTTTTGTGCATGTTGTCAGAAAATTCTTAGATTTGTACTTTGAAAAAAGAAAACTCTTTGATGCAGATATGGGGTTATTGCTTTCATGACATTTTCCAGTGAATTCAATCTCATGGCAGACCGTCATTTTTGACCTATTATACTTAATTCATGGTTCTTTACATATCTGATAAGAATGACCACAAGGCTTGCAGACATGAGATTCAAGAACTATATCAACCTTCTCCTCCAAAATTTATTCAATTCTAAAGAAATTCTAAAGACTAAACACGTTGTACATATTATGGGAAATCTCCTCTTCCACTAAATTGATTTAAAAAAAAAAAAAGGCCAAGTCTAAGTACAAGCTGTAGCATTATGAACCAGATAAGGGGATGTGAAGGTTATTAACTACTAAATAGGCTGCAAAACCAGCAGCATAACCTGCAAAAACAAAACCACTCACCTGCACCAAAATAAATATTTTACTCAATAAAATTGGTTTTCTTTTCCTAAAAAGATATGAAACTAAAAGCACGAATTACCTTTCGCAAGTACCAAAAGAAGTCAACTTTTTCCATTCCCATATATGCAACTCCAGCGGCAGACCCAATAACTAGCATGAATCCACCAGTACCAGCACAATATGCAACAAGTTGCCAAAACTACAAATGCATTCTAGCTAGTCAATGGGGTGTGGGTCGTAGCACCTTTGATTGTTTCCCTAATTGGCTCTTATTTTTGCGTTCAAAACTTCATATGCAAGTAATTGATTACAAGTTACAACTACACATCTTTTCGTAGAGGGAAGAAGCCAAGTCTAGCGTTTTGGATTTCAGATGAAACCTCTAGCATCGGGTCAATTCGACGTGAGGGTTACTGTGACTCCATATCTTGGTGCTAGTACAATGGACGCTCCGGTAAGTTGATTGTTTAAAGCATATATCCATGTTTCATTTGTTTCAGAATGATATTATTGAACGAAGCATTGTTATGTTTTTCAGGAAGGAGTGGCTATTGAAATAGCTGAAACTGTTGTTGGAGCCTTGAAAGCGGAATTTGCGGCAACTGCGTGAATGCACCAATGGTTGCTGCTGAGGTACAATGACTTAATGAGTTCTATTAGTTTTGCCATCTATTTTTCTTCCTTATTTTCCGGTTGATATAGCCTTAATTTTCCCTTCTTCATGTTCTAGTCATTCATGATTGATGTTTCACTTATTTGTTAACTTCCCCTGCAGGTTCTAACAGGGTCGAAACCATATGTCGAACTTGCTGAGAAACTTGGGAAGCTGACAGTCCAATTGGTAGCAGGTGGAATTGGTGTTAAAAGTGTGAAAGTGTCGTATGCTTCATCTAGAGCCCCTAATGACCTTGACACAAGGTTGCTCCGTGCGATGATTACCAAGGCCTAATTGAGCATATTTCTAGTGTTTTCGTGAACCTGGTTAATGCTGATTATACTGCTAAACAAAGAGGACTGCAGATTACGCTGAACGCATCATTTTAGATGGTTCACCTGAGAGTCCACTGGATTCCATCCAAGTTCAGATTGCCGATATGGAATCAAAATTTGCCAGCGCCATATCAGAGTCTGGTGAGATTAAGCTTG